GGTCTGTGTGGTCACTAACAGGCCTGAAGGAGAGATGGCAAGGAGGAAGTGGACACCAGAGTTCTTAGAGTTGCAGGCAGCATCTGGCTGGGGTGACCCCTCCCCCAATGAAGAGGCAGAGGGATAGATACCTCAAAGAGCAGGAGATGGAAGAGAGTCCCCAGAAGACCCAGCCCTTCCTCTCCCGAAAGGGCTGCAGATTTCACTTGGGGCAGAAGTTGGAGGAAGTGGTTCTGGAAAAACTGGAAGAAACGAGAAATGGCCAGGTCCACTCTGGCATGATAGTGGCAATACTGCAGTATGGGTGACCCTGCTCATTTAGTGTCCTGAGTCCAGGCCTCTGACTCCCATCTCAGGGTTCCTCCTCTGTAAGTCTGAGAAGGGGTCAGCTGGAGGAACCCAAGGGGTTTGCAGAGAGATTCAGATCCTGAATTCTTGAGCAGTACCCCAGGGCCTTGTATCCCTGTTGGGGACCCTCGGCCAGCTGGTGAGCTCCCACAGAGCTGGTCCTTACTGCCCTGATGTCCAGGTCGCTCCCAGCTGAGTTGCTGCCCTTCTTCTACTGAATCCTCAGGACTGGGTAGAAACCCTTAGGTCTGGGTCCTCTCAGATCCAGGCACCTGGAATAACCATCTGAGGACAGGGATTAATGTGTTTGACAGTTGCGAAGTCAACCAAGTAACGCACCACTTGTGTTTGGTGGGGGAGGTTGCTGGAGTAGCAGAGCTGAATATTCTGCCTTGGAACCAAGGCAGAGTTGCCTTTCTGAGCGGGCCTCTCGCCTTTGGCCATGTGTTTGTTTCCCCCGCCCTTCGAGGTGGGGAAAGGGAGAGGAGGAATGTATTTATTTGCAGGGCTGAGTGGGCAGAGGCAGATGGGGAGCCTCCGAGCTTCTTTCTCATTCCTTAGTCTCCTGGAACCAGCCCTGCCCAGGCTGATGCGCCGGAAATAGAGCAGCACCATCGAGCCCAGTTTCCTCAGGCCTCCCTGAAAACGTGCCATTGGCCACAGGCTCTACAGAAGCCGGATGGCCAGCACTGCCCCATTTGGGTCTCTGCCACCTGCCACACTATGTGGGATGTGGGGCGTGCTGAAGGTCTACTCACGTTGCAGCCCAGGGAGATGGTTCCGGGGTCGTCAACCTTTTAGGCACATAAGGAAACTGAGGCCTTGGGTGGTTAAGCACAGGGCCCTGAGGCTGTCGGACCCCTCTCTCTGCTCCCTTCGCCCCTCCTGTGCCTGCCTGTGCCTGCTCCTGGGGACCCTCCAGCCCTCCTCGCCCTCCCCCCAGTACCTACATTGTTCTCTAGTCACAGGTGGGTACTGTTTTCAGTTGGGGCACTGGGACGTTTCCTGTGGGATTAGAGCAGTTTAAAGTGTGATTTGCTTTCCTGTCCTCCCTGGGGGGGTACCCCCATCCTGAATAGTAAAGGGTGGGGCTTGGAATGAGGTCACACGAATGCACATTCTTGCTTTGCCCCTGACTATAGGGTGACTGTACCCTACTTTCTTCCTCTGGATATGGCTGTTTGGGGACTGTTTTCAGGGGTTACGTGATATGGACTTCAGCAAATGAAGCCTGTACCTGGCCCATGAGGGCTCTGGCTTCTGCTCTGCCTTCCTCTGTGAGTTGGTGTCTTTGTTGCTGCACACTGGAGTCTCTAGTTGGTGGAGGCCGAGGCTGCTGGCTTCTCAGGATGCCTTGCCTTGTCACCAAAAGTAACAGGACCTTCTTCCTCCCACATCACTTGAGAACATCCCAGGAAGAATCTGCTGTGGGGAGGAACACTGGGAGGGTGTCCATGGGGGTGCACGTAGAGGTGGACTTGGCAGTTTATCTGGGGCCTGGCTGCACGGGGGGTGTTTTCTGTTCTCATTGTGGGGGTGGTACCTGGTGCCCTTGGTTCTTGCTTATGCCGCCTTCTGGGTTAGAGAGTTTATAATAAGCTCTGAACGTCTCCCAGGCTGGGCACCAATCATCCTGCATGGTCCATGTCCACTCCTGGGCCACCCTCTGTCCTGGCTCACCTGGGTTACCACCTGGTGCCTGGGCTCTCAGCAGATGGGGGAATTAAACAGGCCTGTGGTCCTCATATAAGGCACTTGTTCTCTGCATCTGCAAGGAGACATTGTAAACAGAAAGAGTAAGTGAAATGTTTTTAAAATGCTCTATTGAAGGCAGGCCCTACAGGGGGTGGGGGAGGGTGGTTGCAGAGGTGTCCCCATGGCCAGGTCTCATTTCAGCTCAACATTTATGACCTTCTCCTCCACACAGGCACATTCCTGTCTCTGGTCTTGCCTTACCATGTCTGTGGGCAGGGTGGCCATGTTTGACTCAAATGTAAGGAAAATGGAGAGAAGTTTCCTTAAGCTACATGGATAAGAGGCCCAGGGAAGGAGAGACAGATAAAGAAATTGGTGTGCATGTCCTAATACAAGTCTGAGGCAGATGTGGTGAAGGGGCAGAGGGTACACCCAGCTACTTGGGAGGGTGGGTGGGGATGAGAAGAGGGAAAATCGGGA